GAAGGAAGGAAGGAAGGAAGGAAGGAAGGAAGGAAGGAAGGAAGGAAAAATACATATACTATATATGGTACACAATTATACACATTATATTTTTATATGGATGGCAGTGTGGTAGATTTGTTGAAACTCACATTGATACAATCACAAGAGTAATGCATTGTGCTGTTACTTAAATTGGCTATGGTATCACTAGATGAAAGGAAGTTTTCAGCCTTTTCAGCTCTGTTGCAATCTTATGGGACCACCATCATGTAGATTCTTCGATGACTTTGTTATGTGATGCATAATTATATTTAAATTTTCTATTAGATATTGTTTATACCCAGCAGCCTTCCAGTTTACTAGGACTAGAGCCTGTGCTTAGAATTGACTTTTTTTAGGGTAAGTATAATGAAGTCAATAAAGATCTGAAAGGTTCCTATGCATTGAGACTAATGTCAGGACTATTATACAGGTAATGTGCTTGGCTGCCCAGTTTTGCAAATGTGAGGAGGAAGCATAACTCTATTGTGTGACAAGTACTATGAAAATGGAACTCACTGAGGTTTTCAAATTAAATGAGACCTATGTCCTTGTTCAAGTCCTGTAAAACTGAAGTCCATTAAGATATGTATGTGTATTAACTTACCTCTGTGCTGGTCAGGTTTTTACTTGGTCCAGATAAATATGGGATAAGGAATGGTTCTGAGGGTCTCATCATGGAGAAAAATCCAAATAAACAGAGGATTACAGTGGGATAAATCCAGGAATTGCTCGGTGAAGTTCTCAAACAATCCATGGCTAATCAAATGGAAACAAAAATTAAGTAATTTCTTTCTTTCTTTCCTTTTTTTTTTTTGGAGGTGCTGGGGATCAAAACCAGAGCCTTATGCATGCTAAGCAACTGTTCTATCTCTGAGCTCCATCTGGGGACCCTCTACATGTTTTATGAAAGGCTAGAGTTTCATCCATTTGTGTTGAAACAAAAAGGTGAATAATGAATAGGTGTTCTCAAATGTTGCTCAGGTGAGTCAGTCATGCCCTCCTCTGTCAATTAACTTCTTTTTAATTATCACTGAGGGAAGCAATAATGGTTATAAGTAGCTAGTAGTTATTGATAAGCAGTGGGCCAACACAGGCACGAACCTAAGGAAAACGCTAGCCAGTGGACTGGTATACGTGGGCCAGGTAAAGCACTTCCAAGAGAACAGATGGAACTACTCCAACCTTCCACTCCCTGCCCACTCCACTGGATAGAGATTCCGAGACTGTCAGCACAAGGGCAGCGATTGTTTATTCACGCGTTCACCTCTCCAGCCGCCTGTACTTGCCTAGCATTTTGCCAGACACAGAATAAATACCCAAGATATTTGTTAGGTGTGTCCCATCTTCTAAGAATTTATAATTCTTCAGTTAAAAGATTAAACTGGACAAAGACCTAACTTGCTGACTTTTGTCACTGGTAGGCTATTACTTTTTTATTAGTATTTTATTTTGGGGGGGGGGGCACTGGGGCTGTGAATGCTGGGCAAGCCCACCACCACTGGCCACACCTCTAGCTCTTCTACTTTTCACTATAACTGGGCTCTTCTCGAATCCTGCGGTTTCACACCACTCAATGTGGGCAGGTAGTCAATTAATACTTTATACTTTTTCCTAGCATAGAAATTACCTGAAATTCAAACTTCAGACATATAACACAAGAGGCTCTCATTTGTCATTGCACAGCAAACAAACAAAACTAGCCTTATTTTATGGTGGCTGAACTTGAAAACATTTGTTTTGTCTTGATGATTACAGTGTGTGCAAGAATGCTCATTCCTATTCCTTCATGTTTGAGATTCAGCTTAGTTGTATTTTTTGGTGGTCCTGATTGTGGTTAACTTCTGAAAATATTCACAAGAAGGAAACTAACCTGTTGTAGGATGCTTTTCTGTGTATTATCTTATCAAAGCCTCATAGCAACTATAAAATACATCATTTCCCCAAATTCTGAGTTGATTGTATAGAAAATCTGTGATGTTCAATGACTACATTCAAACCACATGGTTAAGACCTGAAGCCAGGGGTCCCCAGCTCCCATCAGGATGCTCCCACCACTCCACTGGCCTCACTCCTGTGGCCCCTCCTCTCTGCTGCAGGGGGTAACTAATGACACCCTCTTTTCACAGTGAGGAAAGGAAATGTTTTCATAAACATGTCCACATGTTGTGGCTTAATCACATGTGTGGCTTAATCTAGAGAGCTTCCAGAGGCTATGAAGGTTTGAAAGTGGGCCAGAGAGAGGTAAAAGGGTGCTTTTTCCAGAAGAACTAGTCTCCTGGGTGGAACTCCAGGTGTCCAGGCATAGGATCTTGCTGAGTCACGCCACAGCTTGTCACCTACCCAGCTTTGTCACAACGTGGCTCCAAACAGATGCATAGTTTTTCTCTTAAGTTAAATAAGGTAAACACCATTTTTTAAGAAACAGTGTAGAGAACAAGACGATCAGATTTTGGAACCAGGATTGTGACAACAGTGAACAATGATGACAGTGTAAAAGTTCTGTCCAGGGAAAATCGGGGTTGATGATCCTTGGCTTATTCCTTCACACCAGAAGTCATGGGCTTTCTCTTCTTCCTGGGATGCTGCTGGGTTTGCTGGGAACTTCTCACAGGAAAGGGCATCCTTGCTAGTCAATTACTAAGGTCATCTTTTGAAGGGTGATCTTGATGGGGTGGTATGTGCTGACTCTATATCTGGAACATTCTGTCCATCTGTGCTGACCATGGATTTGACAACCAACTCCAAGTCATCTTCTCCATGTATCTCAGAGACCTAGGACTACTCCCATGGTTGCTGGCTGTCAGAAGGCCCCCGGATTACTTAACTGTTTGTCTCCTTATGCTCTGGATATTGCTGCCCATCTAGATATAGCTGAGAAGGTTAAGCAGAAAAATATAACAGATGTCCCCTAGAGAGTGAGCCCCAGGAGGGCAGGACCTACTGTCCGGTTCACTACTGCACACTGAGTGTCTCAAACAGTGCCTGATACATGGTAGGCCCTCAAGGAAGACGCTGAATAAATGGAATAAACAAACAACTACAGAATGATTGGTTAAGAACAGGCAAGGTATGGGAGCTGGGGAAGGCAGTACTGCAGAAAGGATAACTACCCCAACCCCAACCCCTGCCCCGCTGAGAATAAGAATAAGTGCTGCCTGGTTTTCCAGAGTGAGCTTCTCTTTCAAGTTTCATCAGTGAAAGACCAGGGAGATCCTCGATTCTGCAAGAGTCTTGCAGTTCAGTTTCTCATCTGTAAAATGGGACAGCAACCTTGGCTTCACCAAGATCATTAACTCTCCTCCGGGGGAGCTTGTAGCCTATGGTCTCACTAATACATGGAAGTCATATCTGTCATATTTGTCACCATCTTTCATTTTTATTTTTTTTTAGCAGTTGAGATTGAACCCAAGCTGTTCTATCACTGAGCTAAATACCTCAGCCCCTTTTATTTTTTATTTTGAGACAGGGCCTTGCTAAGTTGCTGAGGCTAGCCTTCAACTTTTGATCCTCCTACCTCAGCCTCCTGAGTTGGTAGAATTAAAAGCATGCACCACTGAACCTGGCTTTCTGCTACTTCTAACCCAGTGACTGTGTCCCACAGTATGTTAGTGTATATTGTGACCACATATGTATGTTTATATATTGTTAACCTAAACAAAAGTTGCAGAAAAAAACTTAACTATACTCTGTAATGCCCTCTGATAATTACTGTTTTTTGCCTCATTAAAAAAAAAAAAAGTGTGCTTGCAACTCACTGGATTTCTTTAACACCACAGTCTGAAAAACACAATATAAAACAATGGAATTGGAATGTTGCAGATACCGCTGGGCTTTCTTGATATAAGGTAAGAGGAAAGATTAGTGAGGCTGGAATTAGAAAAATTGAATCCAAGTCCAAGATCTGATGTGAAAACCAGCACAATTCTTATTCCCTCTGGCTTTCCTTTCTCCTTTGTTTGCAGGAGAATAGTAACTGTTTCTCACCTTATGAAAAAAGCCACAGCTCTCCCACCAGGTACCTTAGTGTCCTACCATTTCATATCCAACTCTGTCTATTTTGGGCATTTCCAAACAAGGCCACAGATTTTTATTGCTTCCCTATTGTTCTTTGAAGAATGATAATTTCCTTGCTAAGATATCTAACGCTACTTCATTGTAAGAGGCTCAGATTTTTTCTTTCTCTCCTATAAAATGTAAAATTTATTTGTATTTGACTTGGTTCAAGTTTGCCTGGAGTGGCTTCTCACTACTTTGTTTTCATCTACCTTGGGAAGATTTCTTTTTATGTCACCTCTTACATGCTTGTAGTTTCTTGGTATAAGAGTTCATTTTATTCTCTTCTCTTTTTCCAATTATTACCATGTTGTTGACTTTTTCCACTTTGAACCACTTCCTTTAGTTGTTTTTTCCTTTCAGTAAGAAATAATACCATATTTGAAACTAACATAATTCTTTTTTTTTTTTTTTTGGTGGCAGGGATTGAACCCAGGGGCACTTTAACACAGAGCCCCTGCCTCAGGCCTTTTTTGTATTTTACTTAGAGACGGGGTCTCACTGAGTTGCTTAGGGCCTTACTAAGTTGCTGAGGCTGGCTCTGAACATGATCCTCCTGCCTCAGCCTCCTGAGCTGCTGGGATTACAGGTGTGTGCCTCCATGCCTGACAACTTAATTCTTACATTGACTGCAAGATATACTCATTGGCCATCTTAATTCTGTGGTATGGAGGGAAAAAAGCTTTCTTCTTCTGTTTTGAAAATAGAAGAAGAAAGCTTTACGTCATTGCCAGGATCCCAGAAGTGACCTACTAGAGAAGGTTAGAGCACATTTACTAATTCCACTGCTGAGTTTCCTTTAGTTAGCTTTAACTTACAGAGTTATTGTGTACATTATACCTTTCCCCAACTCGTGCACATAAACGTCTTCAGGTGTTGACCACGTATATATTGGGGGAAGCACATGTGCTTAATTGAGAACTTAAGTCAACTTGCACCTTATCTAAATTTCAGATATGGACAGTGTCTTATTTCCTAACCCTTAGGTAACATGTGTTTATATACACAACAAAACTCTATGGCTGCAGATATTTCTAGGTGTATTCCATTTGTGTGGAATAGGCAACTATTAAAAGCCAAGAACTGCAGAAACTGGCATCACAGGAGGGCTTCCAGAAGCCCTGTGTGGGGGGAGGGTTTCCACCCAGGAGGAGCCTTAGCTGATTGAGTCTTTCCAAGAGAGGAGGACAGTGGAAAGGAATCTCTTCTTCAAATCCCCTCCCATGTTTGCTTAGAAGACATTGTCAGAATCAACCCAGATGCCAAAAACGTTCAAGGAAACTGTCTAGAATCCCCAGTCTCCACCCAATTCCAGCCCAACCCTTCTGCACTAATCACTCTAGCCCTCTGAGACAGGGTGCCTGACAGGGCACCCAATCTTCACATTCCTCCCCAGAGCTTTACTGCAGTCAAATGAGAGCAACAGCTTGATCATTTAAAATAATAACCTTACAGCCTCAAAATTCCAAAGGGTTTGGGCAGCTGAGTCACAGACATATGCAAAAGATGTCACTTGTCCCAAGACACAAGGAGCCTTAGTGTGTTCCGAAGGAAAAGCCAGCTGTTTTATTGCCTTCTGCACACAGGACAGAATCATGCTGTGACCATAGGTGTGGCAGGTGTTCCCCTCACACCAGGCACACTTTGGACACCAACTGGGTGTCTGCTGATTCAACCCAGTCCTGAGGCTGTCCACCTGGA